TGTTACTATCTTAGTGTGGAGACTCCGATGCAGTAAATTGTTTTAGAAGTATTTTCGTATGTTTTTCTGTTATACAAGTTCTTTACAAAACGAAACGTTAAACATACAGCCGACTGGCATATTGTTTCTCCTTGCACATGAAAAAATAATCAATTAAGAATTAAAATTGAATGTTACACAAATGTATGTGGTCGCAGCTCTTCTTGTCGGCTGTTCTTATGCCGGATTATGCCGGAATTATTACGGCGGATTATGCCGGAAAGCCTGTTTAATCATTCACAGCCTTTCACCTGTGTAGGTACATTGATAAACAACAACAACAACAACAACAACAACAACAACAACAACAACATGTTTTTTCTAGATTTCTTGAGGACGCTCTAAAAGGATGTATTGAAAAACAGTGCCAATCCATTCGCTTCGTAGAAGGAAATCGAAAGTGATATTGATCACCTCTGTAGTTACGTTAAAACTCCCACAAAAAGCTTTTTAGGTGCTCCTCTCTCCCAATAAAACATACTTTTTTAGTTCTTTTAGAATGTTCTCGTGGGATCTGATAAAATTGTCAGTTCCCCACCAGGACTGCGATAAGCGCCGAATGACACCGCACTTGTTCCGGAATGATGCAGCGGAAGAGGTCTATCCGTGTGTGACGAGCGGCCACACACTCGCATTTTAGACCGACTCCTTTGCGAAGCTTACAGTTAACACAATACTATTGAAATGCATGGGTTAGCTGTCTTATAATTATTGTAATGTCCTAATGAACAAATCATCCCTTAGCGTTTGAGAATATTCGAAAACATTTTTCAATGCCAATCAATTTTTTTCCAAAAATGCATGTTTCATTACATAATTAGGTTTATCTATCTTCAGTCTTATGAATCATATTGGAAATGCAGTAATTATAGTAAATTCACAGCGATTCACCACCTTGAGACACACAAAAATAGTGTTTCGTTTCTTTCTAGAATATTCTAAAATTATCTGGCTAAAAACTGTGATAAACCTTTGGCCTCATTGGGAGGAATCGGAAAAGCTATTGATCACTTCTGTGTTTGCCTTAAAACTCCTCCAAAACGTGCAGAATGTTCTCGTAGGATCCGAAGAATGGCAGTTCCACACCAGAACAACGAGACGCGGCGGAAGACGCATCATTAGTCCCGATTGGTGGACCGGAAGGGGTCTAATTTGATGTATTTAATCAAAAAACAGTAAAAACTATATGTGACGTATGTGGTAGAAAATCTACTGCGCACGTTTTCTTGAGTTCTAGAACCCCTTCTCAAAAATTGAGCCATAAATTGTTGAAAGATGAATAAAAGTTTAACAAAAATAATAAAATTTCAAAAAGCACGAAATTTGCAACATTTGTAGAAACTAGACATTTTAGTTCCCGAGTTACAAAAACTTAGTAACTCACCCCCAACTCTACTCCTACCACTACCATCACTACAAGCAAAATGTGAGTTCAGCAAAACGTGCGCATAGTGAAGCTATATTTATATCTAGAAGCAAAGCGAGGAGGCATCTCAGCATTTGCTCAATGGATCAGAGAAACTGGAGAAAAACCTCGAGGAGATGCGGGTCATTGACCCTGAAGCTGAAGTACATTACTTGTTACAGGCATATTAAATCTTTTTTTTATAAATTATACAATACAAATGTAAATTAATGCATTATATATTATTGTTTTGTTAGAAAAAAATATTTTTTCTTTTTCATATTCAGTATTGTCTCTAATTGTATAAAAACAGTTATGCAGATGAAAATATTTTACTTTTAACTTTAATGGATGTGTTGACTTAAATTGTTTGCCATATGGCAATGCATTGTAAAATAACGTGCATGTATTTTATGTGGATTTCTTATTGTGAGCCGTTGATACTTACACTTGATAAATGTGATTACTACGACATGTGTTGTAATTATAAATACCAGTATTGCATGAAAATATGTTCCCATTCTTAGTAAGTGAGTCTTGACAAAAATTACAGATTCTAGAATAAATAGCCACGGCAATAGTAAATTCCATTGCCTTTGCAATTTAAAGGTCTGGTTACTACATGATGAGTTTCCCTAGAATTTTATACCATATCTCCGGCGGGAATGTACATTTGCAAACTACACGCAACGAGCTGCATGAAGGCTGACAGAATTTGAAAGAAATCTGAATGCTTAACATAATGAACTTAATTTAGTGTTTAATTTTGTTATATGAAAAAATCCATTTGAGGTTTGGCTGAATTGAGAGACCTAGAAATGTTACGTGAACATCAGCTAATTCCATCTTCATTTTTAATAGAGCGTGCGATTGCCGATTTGAAATGCAAAAATGCATTGAAAGAGTTTTTCGTTCGTTAACTGTTAATTTATTATGAAAACAATTTGAAACTTATGAAATCGTTGTTTTTAATGTTTCTTTTTGCAAAGAACATTCGTGTCAACGCTAACAACGTTCTTCCAGTTTTAATAGGCGAGGGCATATAGTTTACGTTTAACAGAAAGATGATAGGACCTATGATCGAACCTTGCGGGACCCCATGCTCAATTGGCAGAGAATTGGAAATATAAGTAAATAATGTCCTTTCGTCCAGTATTGTATTTTTACTCTTTGAGATCGATTCTTAAGGTATGAGGTTAACCAGTCTAGGTCAATACCACGAATTCCTTATGAAGGTAATTTTGAGAGCAGGATGTTATGGCCAATAACGTCAAAAGCTTTCCAAAGATCTAAAAATATTCCAATAGATGCTTCATTTTGGTCCATTGATAAAGCAACATCTCTGAGAAAAGAAAAAGATGGTAGTTTCCGTAGATTTTGATTTTCTCAAACTGTGTTGTGAGTCTGAAAACGCTTCGTTTTTTCTGAGTTAAGTTTCCATTCGCGTATAGAAAAGTCTCTAATATTTTTGAAAAAAAACTGACAAAAGGGGAATTGGCCGGTGATTTTGAATTGTATGTTTGTTCCTTTTTTTGAAAATTTCCTTAATTTTTGCTGTTTGTAAAATATCTGCACATATTCCTGTGCATTGAAAATGAAACTTAACGGATGTATGAAGACAGGTGCACAAGTTTTTAATAAACAATCCGGAAATTCATCCAAACCAGATAAATATTTATTTTTTTTAGTTTATTGACTATTCTGAGAATTTCGTAAGAAGTTTCGGATATAAACATTGCGTCGAAAATTGTTTGGGAAACGTATGATGTTGAATATTGTAGTTTTAGTATCTTCGTATGATCAGCCGCCATTCTGGAAAAGTGTTGGTTGAAGAGATTCGCAACTTTTTCCGGATTACTTTCTTTTTTTATCCTTTAAAACGACATTCTCTACAAAGTATGGATATGATGTGGTATTTTTTACAATATTCCACATTGCTTTAGTTTTGTTACTAGCGTTCAAAATATCCTGATTATTTTTCACTAAGTCATCCAAGTAATACTTTTCCGTGAAATGTGTAATATTCTCTTTTTAAGAGGGAAGCACGTGTTAAAGTGAAATGAAATCTTTGAGAAAAATAAATTATGTTTTTCATTTGTGTCAATAGCATTATAAACTTCGTCTCATGATTCCTTCAGCAAGTAGTCCGTAAATAATTTTGTTAGCTTTAGTGAATGCTCTGCACATACGTTATTGTGTCATTGTTCATGTTATGTGTAATTATAAGGATTTGTGTATTGTGGTCACTGTAACCTAGATTATTTATTATAATTCGATATCTAGTTGTGGTTTTGTTAATTATAATTTGATATTTTGCTTTTTGTGATTTAAATGTATTCCGTGAAGGTACATTCACTGTAATATCTAAATGAAGAAGTAAGTTCAAAAACTGCTTTTTTCATGAGATTCACTCAGAAAATCAACATTGTAATCTCCACATATAACCATAGATGTAAAAGAGCGGCTACTTATTTTGTTCAGTTTTCTCTAGATTTTCTAATAAAATGAAATAATTTAAAGCTCGCTTTGTTGGAGGTCTGTAGATGCAAAATAAGATAATTTTGGGCGTAGTAACTTTGAGAATACAACTGTTATTTTAAAACCGTTATCAACTCCAAAACTCATAAATTAAATTCTGACGAGGTAGAATCAATATCACTTATCACGTTAATACATGAACCTCCATAAGCAGATCCCTTATTTGATTCCCTTCTTCTACAATATGATCCTGCTAGGTAAAAGCTAGGAATTTGAAGTGTGTTTAGATCATTATTAGACAACCAATGTTCTGTAAAACAAAAAAACATCTGTTTGACCTAGATCAATCTGTAATGCTGCCTCCATAAATTCAATTTTATTTAAAAGAGATAGATTATTGTTAGGCATTATTCGAATCTTTTGCATGCAACTACACGGATGTTTCTCTGCTGCATTTAACTGTAGTTTCTATTTATCTCATTTTTACTTAGATTGCGTTGTCGGAGGAAGTATCGTGCCCCAGTTGTGACAGGAGTTGAAGGAGGGGCAACAGATTTAGTGGAATGGATGATGGGAGAGGTACTACAAGGATTAGGTTAAAGGGATAAGGTAATTGGGTCCAAAGAGGTCCAGGAGGATAGAATAGAACTAGGAAGTGTGGGTGGGGATAGGTCTTGGGCAGGACATCGCCGTGGGGGGCAGGGTCTGAGCGTGAGTGACGGTCGCACGAACCGGGTTACTCGATTACTATACATTTATACGTTTCGCCAACGCATCACAGCACAAGGAAATTTACAGTTAATTGTTTTGTGCGATGTTTGACGAGCTGATAAAATGGTTATTTCGACCTTCAGAGCTTGGGTATTTAAACGTTCAAAATAAAACGAACTAACTGTTCAAACGTGGAATGTGAATTCCAGACATTTCTGAGTGAGAAATGGATATTATTATTTGACTTCTTACGATCCTTCAATAAGATCTCTTCTACCACTTTTGTAGATATTTTGGTTGTTAATTACATTCAAATGCTATTATTGTAACAGACTATTAATATTTCTTCCTGGTTTTGTTGTTGCAGGAACAGCTCCAGTTGTACCATTCTTGCCAACATATGCTCGACAATTGGGATTTTCAAGTGTTATTGTTGGGACAGTGTATACAATACTCCCCATCACTGGGATGCTTGCCAAACCACTGTTTGGCGCTTTAGCTGATAGATATCAGTGTCAGAAACTCCTCTTCATTGTGTTTCAAGTCGTGACAGCAATTACATTTTTTGGAATTCAATTTATACCGGAGATACCACTAGAGACGCCTTTGCAATTAAGTTGTGATAAAGGTTTTTTGTGGTTGAAGTCCTGTGTCAACAGAACTTTGGATGATTGTTCAAAGTCAGGTGTTTTGAATTGCCAGGTGCTTATTATTTTACTTCTTATTTATTACAAATTAACATTCATGTTTCAATGGGATATTCATGTGAAAATTTTCTATACGTACAGTGAATCACTACAATATTTTAAATCATTGTTGTGACATCCTGAGTGAATATTTCTAGAAAACTTTTAGTGTTATCTTAAAACTGCTTATAATTATGTGATCATTAATTGCTTGAGAAGAACTTGGTGACAAAGTATATATGTGGTAAGAAAAGGAAGCACAAAGATTTGAAGAATTTTTAATTTACATTACATCTCAATAAAATAAAATTTAAAAAAATAACAATACTGTGTTGTAGTGTGTAATGTGGTACAATTGATAAAAGGGAAAATACAAAATATAAGAGATTCTTATATACAGTAATGTACTTTAAAAAAATATGAACTGCTCTGATTAAGAATGTGTCCAGAGTGGTGAATGAAATGTTTTTGTTCTTCCCATTTTTGCACTGCTAAGGAGAAAATTGACATGAATACGTCCTCTTATTCGGAAATTATTATAGAATCAAATTGTTTTGTTCTTGGAGAATATATAATCTGAAATGGAGAAACGTGATCATTTTTGGAATTGCGTTCATATTTATTGGTGTCTATTAGAAAAATGTAGGAAAATGAATAGAAAAATGATCAGAAGTATTGTTCAAAGAAAGTGCATAAAAAATTCTATCCCCTCATAAAATGTACATTGTTTAATTTAGGCCACAAAGTTTTTCAAACATGCGCAACACACTTTGAGATGCAGCTTCAGATTAATTTCATGTAGATTTACTTTCACCGACTGCCATGCTTGTGAATCGTCAACTGACACTTTGTAGACCGGGGAAGCGAAGCGGTTCCAGACCTGCTAGAAAGCAAATTATCGACACTAGCTCAGCCTGCATAGAACTCTAGATAACAGCTCGTGGGATTGGTGGTTTCCGTGATTTACTGCCACTAATTCGGGGCAGTACCTTAAAGTACGGGCCTCTAACGGGACGGTATCCTTTTGCTCCACCTTGTCTCCATTCCCTTCTTTAGAACTGAGCGAAATTATCCCCCATTATTGTACGATCGATCTTCTTTGATCTGCAAAATCTTATCAGATCCGGGACGCAGTTGATCAGCTGATTTAATCTCTGGGCGACAAAGTCTGTCGGTATGGCGCTCTGTGATTGTTTGAAAGGTTTGTTGAAGACCGGTGTTCGCAAAAGCAATTCACACATAATATCGATGTTGAGCATTGATTGACATTTGAGACATATACTAAAAGCTTTAAATAAATGTGAGACTGTTTTGGTGAAACCAGAAGTACGTAGAAGTAGGCGGAGAGCATTTTCAACATCACCTACGAGATAGGTTGTGCTGAAGCGCCTTTGAAGGCCGCAGAAGGAATCGTTGCGCAGTCAGTTACTACGTACACAATCGTGGGCTTCAAATTCCAAGCGCCGAGTCCGCATAGTTTGTGAGCAGACATTGTGATAGTCCCTCGTTCACGGGGAACTGCACAGCGTACAGCACACTGTCGTTTGCATGGGCACAAATGTTCATAGCGCACGGATATCCCTGTTGCAAAGTGTTTCCTTTCTTGTGCGAGGACAAAAGTATAACTGAAATCCCATGAAGTTGACACAATTTACCGGGAGAGATGGCAGGATTTTCTACTCTAGCTAGCAGTCGCTGTTTGGAGGAGAATTCTAGCGGCCGGCTGCTCTGATCTCTAGTTTTCCGTGCTTTCTGCGAACAACAGGCGAATGCTGGAAAAGTACCTAACAAACGGGACACGGTCTGCGAGCGATCTTTCCTACCTCTTCCTTGTCCTATCCTCACCCTATGCACCCAATTGCCCTAACGTGTACTAAATTACCCCACATGTCAGGATACCGGTGGGGAGCTTAGAACTTGTCCCGGCTGGGGCGACCTACCGACCAAAAACATACACTACACTTACGGGACTAGCGCGCCGCCGCCGCCGCCGCCGCCGCCGCCGCCGCCGCCGCCGCCGCCGCCCCCCTAGTAGTTGACGCGCCCGGAATCAGTTTCAGTGAATCAAGCGACTCAATTTTATCAACTTGAGAGGAATTGCTAGGTCAGATCAGAACGTCCTCCGTGCAGAATGTCAATAAGAAGAAATGAATCACATTTCCCCATTTTGTTCTCAGAAAATAATGCTCGGCAGCTTTATCGAGTAGACGATCGCGAACATGATTACTTTAATTTTTGCTGAGGAATTGCATGGACAGTTCTTAAATCGAATATTATCGTTTCATCCCGAGAAACGCTGGCAAATATTTCTAAGAACTCTCGACTTGACGGAAAAGACAACTTTGTGGATGACTTACCACAAGATGGCGTTACAGGAAAGAAGCAGCAACTTCACTATTGCAGTTGTCATAAGAGTACTCAGTACTACTTACTCGGTGTGTATAATCTTTGTCACGTGGCTTGAATTATTTGTAAAATTATATTAAGTAAAAATTACTCCAAATTAGTATAAATATTTTTGCTGTATTATGTTTGCAAGTTAACGAAGAATAAAAACTTGTAGAAAGAGAAGAGTAAAACCTTTTGAGAACAGATGGTTTAAATGTAAAGATACTGAATTATACTGATATCCTACTGAAAAGGTGGCCAATTTCTTCAAATATTAAAAAGCAACAATTTATTTTTGAAAAGTTTTTATAGGTGTTATTTGATAATTATTTGTCTGATGTATTAATATATAAACGACTAATAATTAAGCGTTATCTGAAGAAATGCAGTAATTTCTGAAGTATGTGTCAATATTGTTTGCGGGCACAGTGTGGTGTCAAGCCAGGGGCGCCCAGAGAAAACAAAGAGTAGATCCACGGGGGCTCCTTATTTCAAACAGAAATTCTCCCTTTCTTTACATAAACAGAATTTATTTTCCCATGTAATAGGAATAACTAGTAGTGGTTAATTTGAATAAGTCGTAAATTCATTTTCTATTTATTTTGAGTAAAAAAAAACAAACAACCAACTCGCGGTCCCAATTAAGTCGGGGTCTGGGACAAGTTGCCCTCACTTCTGAGCGCTACTGGGCCTAATAGTATGGTGTGTCTCCAAATTTGAATCCTTTCAGAATACTGGAAATTGTGAAAATTGTTACGCGTATTGAGTCATTTCTTCGCCGGCACTTGTTCCTTAAATCTCGGAATTTTCGGGCATCGGGGCTTCTTGAATTTACTCGTTACCACGAGATGAGTCGTTTAATTCCATACTATGGCATAGGGGAACATTTTCCACATCTTCCTCAAATACTTTAAAGCAGGACTTCAGAAACACAAGAATTGGGGACAGTGGGCCCGCGTGCCGCTCTCCTTATACTAAACTGGAGCCGATCGCACGAAAGCGCTTCCCCTCCCCTTCCATGGAACTTACTCATCAATCAATGGCCTGCAGCGAATGTCTGGACCTGGGCGTGCGAAATGTGTCGTCCACGTCAGCAGTCTTTTTCAAAGCCTTTTTTTTATATTAAAAAAAAAATTAAATAGAATTACATGGTACACAAACTACTGAATTGCATCCCATCCCATCAAACAATCGATATACTTTTTCTAGATCTTCATTTGTCGAAATTGTTTTTTATCTTTTAAAGAATTACTTCGGGTCGCAGCGGTGGCCATGTATTCTCTCTCGAACGAGTGTGTTCGTGCACGCTCGCGCGGTAGGCCAGTGCGCGGAAACAGAGTCCATTATGGCGCGTGTTTCATTGGTGAATTAAGGAAATACAAATTTACAATACTCTCTATATGAAGGGATTTTAAGTTCACGCATGTAAGGACTGGTACTGAGTGCTCTTCGGAAATTTTTTATGTTAATGGAATAAGCACGAATATTTTTCTGCAATCTAGAGATTCCTCTAAAATGCAAAAAAGAGAAAAGATAATATTAAGTCGCCAAACTCCAGAAAAATTAAGTCTCTTAGATTGTGTAAAATTAGGAGACTTTGTATCTAGTAGATAATTTTTCTTCAAAAATTGGAAAATATTTAATTGCAGTAACACTGTGAATATGGCACTTCCTCACAAATAATAATATTATGTGTGATGTGTATTTTTTTAAACTGTAGCATTATGTATGTTCGTCATTTCCTTGTTAAAATGTTTACTTTTCAGGTTGACTGTAAAAATGTTCACTGGAATAATGCAGACTTGCATTACGATGAATTAAGTATGCTGACTAATATATCACTGAACCACACTCTGTTTTTTGCTTCATGCAATTTTTTCAAAATGAGTGATACAACAATTTTACCACATAACGATTATGTACCATATTGTACAAATCATTCATCATCATTATGCTCAATGGATTGTAAAAATCCTGCTATAAGAGATGTGACTACTGAGCCTGTACCTGATTCACAAGTGCCTTCTCTTTATCAATTCTGGCTGTTTGTCCTACTCATGATACTAAGCTGGGTTGGAATGGCTGTTGTTGTAAGCATTGGCGATGCCATCTGCTTTGGGATGTTAGGTAAGTTGTTTAAACCATTAGGGGTTAAAATACATATTTAAAATACATTAAATACAGTGTTACAATGTGTTACTGAGAAGCATAGTCTTATGTCATACAAGGTCTGAGGATTACATGGTCAGTTATAAACATTTTTTTTTTAAAATACGGCTATCCCAATAGGAAACGGCAACATCTAGGGAGGTCGCAATATCGGCCATTCTAAGCCAAAAAGTTTATATGAAAGTAATTTATATCCTGTTTCGAATGGTTTCCGGTTGAAGCTTGTTGACAATATAGTATCAGGGTGAACACTTTCTAGAAAACCCGGAAAAATTAAAGAATTTTTTAAATCAAGAAAAATTTTGAGATGGTTATATAACTAGATATTCCTAAAAAAATATAGAGCAGCATTATTATTTGCTCAATTTTTATTTGTTTAGAACATTTTGTTTATTTGTACTTTCATCCCGGTGAAATCAGAGAACTGACAAGTTAGTATCAGACTTGCTTTAATTTTTTAATGTAGTGTGAAACAATGTACAAATCTTGTTAGTGAAAAAATTCATTGGAAAACCGGGAAAAGTATGGGAAATTTGTTCCAGAAATGAGTGGCCCCCTGAGTATTGTGCGTGACTTAATTTGAAGGGTCCTCGCGACAAAATCCACTGTCTGTAATATCGATGTTAGTTTTTTGAATGTATTTAGTTGATAGTTTATACGCCACAAAACATTCTCGAAAATTCCGTCGTCGATATAAATACACTTTTTACTTTCTCGCCTTGATTAGAAGGGAAAATCGTGCGCCGGAAAACGGCGATTTTTTTAACAGAAAAACTCTTCTTTCCTTATAAACTTGTTACAAAAAAGTGGGTAAATGGGTGTTCCCATAAGTAGTAAATTACTTCATTTAAGACCTTGTGAAGTGAGAAACCATGTTTTTTGTTTCCTTGATACCAAAAAATCGATTGACGGCAAAACGGGGTCAGTGGTCAATGCTAGCGCCTAAACTGTCCTGACGATTTTTTTCAAAACTCATATATCTTAATCGATTTGAAGGAAAACGACGTCCTGCAAGTATGGAAAGGATATTTTGGTTTTGTAGTACTTTACGTGTATCAAAATTTTCGAAATTTTCTCAAAAACGACTCCACATCTTGTGATTAAACATAGTCCTCGGCGTAGCATAGAAGACGCTTAAAAAGGTGGCGTAAGCTGGTTTGATGAGCTGTGTTAAACTGAACTTCGAAATAATATATATTATAAATAATTCAGATAATTAGGAACTATTACACATTCAGTTCCAGTTCTCTTACTCCCTATAAAGATGACGAGAAATAACATTTGTTCTCATGTTGTTGTGTTTTTCTTTAATATCCATTTAGATAAATTTATGTGCGGTGTAAGTTTCTTCATTTTAACATCGAATTTTTCACTCTACAAACGACGGTAAAAAAAGGCATCTCTAATAAACATTGTAAAATACACTCAATGTTAACTGAAACACTTTTCAAAGTTTGCTGTGCCATTTTTTTTCGAAATAATAGATATTATCCAATTGACAATGGTATGTTTTGGTACTAACCAATACTTAAGTTCCAAGTTAACAATTAAAATACGCTAATTTGATATATAACCACTAAATGTAACTACTTCATCACTGCACATTTAAGTGTTGCACAGAAGCGCACATCCAACGTACTCCCCATGGTTATTGTCCACTCGAATGCCCCGTCAAGAGATGAGAGGCTTTATTCCCAGTTTTAAATAGATGTAGTTATGTAAGAACTTCACATAGAAATTTAATCGTTTATAATTTTTTAAGTAAGCTTTTGCCTCTCTTGGTCTATTTTCTTATATGTAATGCCTCATTAAGTAATTATAACATGATAGCAACACCAAAATAATATTCATAATTATTTTTTAAACTGATATTTATTAGATAGATAGGCAAAAGGGTGTGTGATTAGTCTGCTGCTGTCACCAAATGAATGTTGCGAAGTTTGTTGTTCTCCTAAACTCTCTAATCTTCACTTCTTGTGAAAGCTCTCAGAAGGATAATGTGACAATTGTATACTAGCTATCAGGTGACAAGGTTTGTAGTAAATTTATGTAATTTAATAATATAATAGTCATTTTGATCCCCTTCTTAAAACATTATTTCCTTGTCTCACCTTTGCTGATTTCTTAATTTCTTATGAAACTTCAGGTCTTGAGGTTAATTTGAAACTTGTAGTTGGGTATAAACTGTTGCAAATGTATTAAATATAAAAATACAACACTCTTAAGTTGCTTAATCCCAATGTTCTTTTCCAGGAGACAAACATTCCAGATATGGACATCAGAGACTGTGGGGTGCTGTGGGGTGGGGTGTATTTTCAGTGATTTCTGGTCTCTTAGTAGATGAATTCAGTCAAGGGAAAAGCCAGAAAGATTACACTGCTGTGTTCTTCCTCATGGCAATAATGTTATTTCTTGATGTATTGGTTTCTACTAGGCTGAAGGTACTTTTGCTCATTATGTCAAATAGTTGTAGTACTACATAGTTTAAACATTTGAAATCATTCATATTGTTAAGTATACATTTTTGTATGTCTGATATAATTTTTGTTGTTTGGTATCTTTTGAAGATTACTATTATCTAGTTTCCAAGGAGACATTGACTAATTTTTAGTAACAAACAGTTCACTTAAATATTCATTATTTCTCTGAAGTTATTATCTGGAAGATTTTTAAATCATTGAACTTTAAAAACTGATTATATGTTGGGAATCTTTGTATCCTTCAATTATATTTTCATATTTATTTCAGTATAGCCAGACCAAACTTTCTGCTAGTATCTTCAGAGATGTGGGGAGAATTGTTGGAGAACCACGAATTGTGGTTTTTATCATTTGGATTATTACCGTGGGCCTTTGTACGGGGCTTGTATGGCAGTTTCTTTTTTGGTATGTTGTTCATCAAACATTGAAATGAAATATGCACTATTAAATATTACTTATCCGAAATATAATAACAATTCTTCATTCAAAAATACTTGCATAATAATAGAGTATACTTGACAAGAAAGTATTTGAATTATTTTTGCTTATTCAGCCATTTCTTACATGATAAATGAAGGACGTCTTTCAGTTAATAAAGTTTAGTCACTATATAAATTTTTAAAACAGTAATTTAAAAAGAGATGTTTTTGGAGAATGCGATTTTTGCTAATCTTTTGGAGCCCTTCTATTAAATATTTGTTGGTTTTCACTCATTTGGTTTTGCTAGATATTAAGAACTTCCCGTTTCATCGGGCAGGGGAGACACTGCACTACACTCTGCCGTTGTTAGCCATAAAAGTATTTTGTAATAAAAAGACATGTTAAGTTTTTGAATTTCCAGTCCATATGATTCTTTACTAGGAAGTAAGTAAAACAATCAAGGAAAACGATAGAATTAATAAATACATTTGATTTATGTTTACCACTTACAGGTTGCCAGATATTAGGAAAGCCTCTTCTCCTAAAGTGTCGTAACAATTTCCCAAATTGTCACCTTAAAAGGGGGTAAAATAAGGGATTGATGGTATTTACGGATATAAAATGTTTCGTTACGTAGGGTAATGGGGCCCATTTTGACATTTTCAGGCGGCCTCCTGCTCCCACCGTCTCTGCGTGCACGACTGTGCCTCCGACCAAACCTTACTCGCGGGACTACCGTTAATCTTTCGTCTGTTTGCGAAGTCAGAAGCCGTTTGTTCCTTGAAGTGTCCATTTATTGGAACATTATTGCCCAAACATGCATGTCCTCGTCACAATACCTTTTTTAAGTTGTTAAGCAGCATGGAGAAAGTTGTGTGATGCTGTTGGCAAAACTGCCATTTTTGGACAGAAAAACACATAGCGCTAGTCCCTGGAAACGAAATAGTGGGTAAATAGTGTTTCTAAGTGTAATAAATTGCTTCCTTCAACACGTTGTGTAGTAGTCATGGTTAGTAGGTTGTTAGTGATTTCGGGCGCGTCAACTACTGAGGTCGTTAGTCCCGTAAGTGTAGTTCATGCATTTCTTCGGGGTGTACTGATCCCCCACTGGATGGCGTGATCGTGCGCCGACTTACCGGGGTTTCAATCAACCAGGGGCCACTACACCAGCCGGGACAAGCTCTAAGCTTCCGACCGGTCTCCCGGCATTTGTGGTAGTGTAGTGCATTGTAGTGTAAGTGTGTATAAGGGGTGAGGATGGAAAGGTCTCGCGCGTCCCAAGCTCCGGCATCCGTCTGGTGTTGATCGGAGAAACTACGGAAAACTATCATTTTTTCTAAAATCTCTAATTTTTCGAAAATTGGAAAAGTTCAACAGTTTTTAGCGTCTGCCTTCAACTGTAGTATTGAAAATGCTATAAATAATTTTATTTTACTTTTAGTAAACAATTTACACATACATCTATTATTCATTGTGTTAGTGTGCACATTTTTTGTAATAGTAAGAATTTGTGCATCGTGCTCACTGTATCACAAGTGTTTCTTTGCAATTTGATATCTAGTAGTGTTTTTGCTAATTATTATTTGATCGATTGCTGTATTTGAATTAAGTGTGGTCTATTTAGGTACATTTTTTGTTATCTCTAAACTAAAGGAATTAATTAAATTGATAAACTGCTCTTTCTCTCAAAATTCGTTCAGAAAATCATTATTACAATACTTCAGTTAGACAAAGCCTGCGATAAAGAACCACGGGACCGGCCCACCAATGTCTTAAAAAACCGATTCTTCGAAAAGAAAATTCTTGTTCTCTTACTTTTGGTATGATTTTAAAACGTAAAGTAGCAATACCCGTGAAAACTTTTAGTTTTTTAAAGTTTGTTTCACTTCTCGAAGAAATGTTTAACATGCTTGTAAATATTTGGCACATAAATACAGAAAGTATTTTTTTCTCCTTCCGACTGTGAAAGTTGGTAACGCAGGTGACTTTCCCCGTTCAAATTCCAATTCTCCGCAAAAAATAAACTAAATAATTTTTGTTTTTATTGGAATATTGTAATATTTACAAAGTTAATTAAATCAAAGGCTTTTTTGATTTCTTTTACAATCAATGAAAACGTTTTTCTTCAAAAAAGTGTTTATTGTCCAACACAACGTTTTGCGTGTTACACGCATCTTCAGGTTACACAAACATACACAATTGACATGACGTCTGAAAATAAAAAAAATGACAAACAAATTTTGGAGATAAAATAAGAGTCAAAAATAAAAGTTGAACAGTAATCAGAGATAAAATGCATTAAAAATGAAGTATACGTGAAAAATATATAAGTAGTAAGTACAAAATATAAAATAGGCGAGAGAGATCCTACTAAAACATGTTAAATTAAGCACATATTTATACAAAAATTATAGAACTTAATAAAAAAAATTATCAAAACGGATAACCCCTCAAAAAAGGGGGAATTTCCCTTTGTAAGAACATAATACTTACTTTAAAGAAAGAGAGGCAGGTATGGGCAGAAAGAGAGCAGATCAACGTAAAAAAATAGAATGTTATTATTTTGAATAGACAGCAATGAAAGCAATTAAAAAAGAATAGAGGTGGAAGGGGAAGGAACAGATCTAAACATAGGTCACCCATAAAATTTATAAAGGCAAACGTAACCTATCACCAAATTTATTTTTATATACAAAACTATTCTTACCCATTCCAGGCGTTGACATTTTTTTCGAAATGTTCGAAAATAAAAGTATAAAAACTTTTTTAAAAAAATAAAATATGGGGTGGGGGCCTAAAAATGAGTAAATCTAAGTTTTACTTGGTCTCAAACATATTCCACGCAGGGTAATATGTTGCAATATTGTGAACTTTCTAGAAAACTGAGTGCTTACTGGCAGGAGCGGATCCAAAGCCTTAGGCCTTTAACAAACTACGAAGAGAGATACGATTACAGAAATTAGAGATATCGGTGGGTCTGCGTTCCCTCACTAGAAATAGGTCTTTTGATGTGAATGCCTTAACGAGTTATGAATTGTGGCAACGTTGTGGGATCAGCTGCGAGTCGTATTTGTTGTATTAAATGTTCGTGTGAAATTTTAACCAGTGGAAACCTTGTATTATGGTAATAAATCCTGAATGTATTGTTAGATTTATTTATTTCGCGAATAAATGTATTTTTTTAATTCCTCCTCCTTCATAAAGTAAGGGTAATTTCACACCCAAGTTCTTCCTCTTCATTTCCCGTTAAGGAAACAATTCAAGTAAAATCTAATAAACCGGTTTGTTATCACACTTTTCACTGCTGTGATAACCTCACTCGGTTCCATGCCACTGTTGTGTTTACGAGTGACAGCGCGCGTCTGAATTTCAGAAAACAAGTGGAGAAGAAATGTGTCCGAGAAAACTCGCTCGCCGACTCGTTAAAATGGGTAGCCCCTTCTATCGATGTTCCATATTTCGCGAAGTAGTCTGTAATGGGCCTTGGGGTAACTATTTTGGAAAATTAAAATTTTAATGTTATTAAGCTCTACAGCTTGTCACTTCCATATGCCTGTTACCTTGCGTGCTATGTTTAATAAAATGTATTCCAATAAAAGAAAACCGTTTAACTGTTACTAGTACGACACAATGATATTCTATAGTGCACACACAATTTCTAAATGTCATATATGTCAACTTTATATTTATGTCTCTCTGCATGTCCATTTTAATCTATTTGATTTCAGAGCTCGATTCTGAGATTAACAAGTTTAAAGAATTATTCTATAACACCTTTTAGTATCATTGTAACATAATAAATGTACAAACGCCTGTCTATTGTTCTTTAAACAGTCTTGTTCGTAACAACATTTTAATTAGTCGTAGCGATCAAAAGTGCTCGAATTTGTAAGTGGGAATGTTTTGACAATGTATTCCACTCGCTACAATGTATTGTTACCCACTCATGGTCGCTCGCGGGTGCAGAATGGAACACAATCGAACTTTTATGCAAATTTCATCTATACACCGATAGGTAGAAGTGCTACAAAACAGCTTTTCGCATTATTTCTAAATTTGGCAATTTTAGAGAGTTCAATGAAAATGAGAATATTTTAAAAGCGTACTCTATCCGCAGAAAAAACAATTACAGGACAAAATTGGAACCGATTTATAGGAGATGATTTTTATATCTATTGCAAACTACTAGTTTTTTCAAAAATATTGTACTTGACCTTACTTCAAAAACTATTTTTTTAAACAGATTTTATTGAAGAAAAAATCTGTATCATCTATATTGTACTTTTGCGATATTAAACTTTTACAATTTTCGAAAATACGTCCAGCACCAAATTTTTCAATCTTGCTACATACGAGGAAAAAGTTCCAAGAAAAAAGGAGCCGTTTTTGTGAAAATAATTATTTAAAAATTCCCCATTTTTCACGCAAAATTACGTGAAAACTACTAATTTTCGGAAAATTGTACCTGTCTTTACTTCAAGATCTCTTTCCACAACAGATTTTATTTAAAAATATATATCTTCAATACTATTGTATTTAAAATGATAATCTAATTGTTAATATTTATTTATTTTAGTTTCCTGTGTATTTAAGACAATCAAACAAGACAAGTTTTGTAATAAATATTTTATTTCGATTTTTTTCATTTTTGCAACGTTTTAAGGCACTTTTGGCCTCATCTTCTGGCAACACTGAATTCCATAGATTATTTTCTTTGTCCCATCACAAATCCATATTTATGAATTATATTACGTCTAGTACCAAGAAACTAATTGTTTTATAAAATATTATGAACACTCTGGTCATTGTCACAACACACAAGTTTTAACTTGCTCCCAGGTCTCCGTGTTAACAAGATTCTGACTGTGCTACGTCGTGACGTCTTGTTTAAAGCGCCGGAAATATGAGATATTTGCGTTTCTTACGCGAAGAACGTGATTTCAAATACCAACGCGGAGAAGAAATTTTAGGTGCTTGAAAACGGA